CAATTTAGGAGGTAAGGTTGACTGCACATTTTTAAAGTTTTATTTTAGACCTTAGAGCCCACTTGGATAATAAGAATGAATTTCATCTTACGTTGATAATTAGAAATAAGTACTGCTCAGAGAAATAGATTATTATCCTGCAAAAAAATGGTAACCGAAAGAAATACTACCTGCTTCAGAAGAAGGGGTCTTCTATATTTATATTTTAAGGAGAAAAAAAAAAAAGTACTTACACATAGCATGCATTAATTAAATAAAACTTTGCGGTAAATCATGCTCAGTTTCTTTCTGTTTTTTAGATTCTTTGTTACAGTTGAGTTTTTCAGCTGTATGTGTATAAAGGAAACAAGTCGCTTTTACTTCTTTTTTTCCCTGTAACAATTAAACCAAATCTTGTAGAGCTACTAGTTTCTCATGACTGTTGGACAGGAAAGTGCCCGTTCCTGATTAAGTACTCCTTCACAATATTGTGCAAGCTGTGATATAATAAATCCTGCAGATATTTTATTGCATTGTGCTTGCTGTTGTCTGCGGTGAGACTGTTAATGAAAAACAACCCCACAAGCTGGTGCTGTTTGTATTGTAATGCTGTAATGTGTCATTTGCTCAAGCCTTTCATTTAACAGGTACTGGATTTAGAGCTTAAGCGTGTATGTGTCCATCCATCCCTGCCTAGGCTTTTACACTGGTCTGTTACTTTGTGTAATTAGTATTGTAGAAGCACGTTGTCAGACATAGTGCTTTTCTAATTTTTATCTTTCTGCTAAGTCACAAAACATTTTTTTTTTTATTCTGGTAAATTACATGGAACAGGGTGTGACTTGGAACAGACGTAAGAAGCACCTGAAACTGGTTACTTTAGTCCTCTATTTTTAATCATTTCTCTTTCGGATGCTTTGTCCTTTTTCACTTGCTAAAATATTCTGGCTTGGTGTTTTATTTTCTGCACAAAAATCACTTTAATTCTTCTGTTTGTAGGTTTATGTCGTACAAGTGAAATATTTGGGGCATCTGCACTAGTTGTCGGCAGCCTTCATTATATACAGGATAAGCAGTTTCAGCATCTTAGTGTTTCTGCAGAGCAGTGGCTCCCCCTTGTTGAGGTGAATGGAAACATTTTAATAGCTAAAAAGAGTACTGTACACTTGCAGTTCATCACATGCGTAGTTCAGAGTCTTACTTTTTTTCTCTTGCAAAATGAATTTTTTAACAAGCTCCTGCTGTTATCTCTGAGACTTAATGTTGAGTATTTTAGTTTCAGCATCTTAGTGTTTCTGCAGAGCAGTGGCTCCCCCTTGTTGAGGTGAATGGAAACATTTTAATAGCTAAAAAGAGTACTGTACACTTGCAGTTCATCACATGCGTAGTTCAGAGTCTTACTTTTTTTCTCTTGCAAAATGAATTTTTTAACAAGCTCCTGCTGTTATCTCTGAGACTTAATGTTGAGTATTTTGGAATAAACTTTGGGTCAACATCATAAAGAATTTTAAAAATACTTTTAATTTCTTATTGCTGTGATAAACTGATTATGTGAGCTGTCATTGTTACATCTTACTCTGTGTTTTATAGTGGTGTGTTGGAATTTAATGTTTATTTATGAAAGTTGAACACCATTTGTCTTGCTTGGTCCATTGCTTTTGGTAACTTCATGGGGATAATCTTTGAGGTTGCCTGAAGCTAACTTGTGCTGAGCATTTAGAACCTATTATCTAGCTTATAAAAATGAGGGTTTCAACCTATGTTTAGTATTTGGTAGAAAATGTTTGTGATATTTTATAATAATCTGTTTTTCAAGATCAGCTTTGTTTAAGTCATCTGAAAAATTCTGTGCAAATTTTTCTTCCCCCCCACCCCCCTCAGTGTTTATTTTCAGCCTATTAAGATTTTTCTTCAGAACAAGATAGCTGTAGTGTGTTTTGCCTAAAACAGAATGCTGATGGACACATGTTGTCATGCCTAATCTCTGTACAGAAGTGTACTGGTGACAGAGTTTCTGTTGCATGAAGAAATTGGCATTTAATACAAATAAGCAGTTTAGAGAGTAGGGTGAAGACAACCAAGAAATTCTTCACTGCAAGCTATCACAAGTTGTAACGCAGGCATGTAAGGCAACTCGGCTTCGATACTGGCTGTTGTATTGTTTTAGGAAGGGATTCCAGGTTAAATAACAACTATGCACCTTGTCCCTGTGCAAGAGTGATTCTCCTTACATTCACACGTAAGGTTTGTAGCTGTCAGAAGCATAGAAAAGCCTTTGTTCATTGTATTCGTGGAGTACATTTTTGTGGCATTATTTAACCTTTTGTGCTATTGCTGAAGAGCTTTTAAAATCATAAGCTATGTGTATGGACAGAGCCTTTGGGGATAAAAGTCATTAATCTTAAACTGTCCAAGTCAATTGATTTTTTCAGTAACTTCAGAAGTTTACAAATGGCAGTATTTATGTATTTCTATATTTCTCTCTACTTTTGATGGACAGGTGAAACCATCTCAGCTTGTTGATTATTTACAGCAGAAAAAAACGGAAGGCTACACTATTATTGGTGTGGAGCAGACAGCTAAAAGTTTTGATCTTACAGAATATTGCTTCCCAGAGAAGTCCCTGTTATTGCTGGGGTAAGAACACATGCTTTTTTGTAAATCTACCTCTTGCAGTCCATCCCTTCTACTAGTCAGAGTTTGGTCATATGAAAACCAAGTGACACTGGTAAAGGTGGCTTTAGAATGGGAAGTGGTTATGGAAACAGGAGAGCTTGGCTTTGTGTGCTAAGGAGTGGGAGGTATTGATACCTACCCCTGAACGATCCTTCTCCTCATACTTTATAACCTATCCATATACTACAAGTCCTTTTTTTTAATGGGTGGAGGTAGCAACAGCACGGACTATAGTTTTCCAGGTGTGATAGAGAGATCATCTGTTCACTTTAGTAATACGGGGCCCTGTGTGTGTAGGCTGCGGTGAGCTCAGCGAGAAGGAGTTGCCTGTTTGCCGTGCTTAACTTGGTGAAGAGGACCGGAGTGGAGTGGGAGCATGAATAGCTGGGAGATGTTTTAAAAATTAAGGATGAGACACAGGACGAAGTAGCAAGTTTTTGCAGGACAAGCAGAGGCTGGGACAACTTCAGAGAGAAGCAATAACCAGTTCCTATAATCAGGCAAGCCTCAGATGTGACAAAGGGGAGGCTACTTCAAGAAATCTAGAGGAAAGTGCCTACAAGTCAGAAACTACTGGAATTGCAGGGCCACTGAGCGAGACCAGGAGGAAGGGCCTGTCTGTCTATCCTTTTAGGACAAAGTGAGCGCACATACCTGTTTTTCAAACCTTTTTACATGTAGCTTGTCTTCAGAATGTAGGTCTCATAATCACTTTGTTCTCTTCTAATTAAAAGCATAGTTTTAATTACTGATAACCTTTGGTATCTTCTGGTGTGCTCATTCTGAAGAGGCGAAACATTTCCAGTTCAAGGCTTCCATCAGTCTTGACATGCCCTCATACCAAGACCTCATTGAATGTAAAGCGGGCAGTTGAGCTTCCCTGCTGTGCCAGCAGCTTCACGCCCTGGTCATTTCATCTATAGCTGTTTTATTTTGCTATATAAGGAGAGTTTCAAAATAAAGGCAGAGAGGGAGCCCTTACGTTGAGGGTTCAGCTATTGCTGGACCAGTGAATTAAAGATGAAGTGCTCTATCAGTTTTCCTACATCAAAGCTTAGTCAGGTCTCCCACGTTTTCTTTGTATCTATAATGTATTACTGCTTTTAAAAAAAAAAAAAAAAAAAAATCTTGTCCTCATCAGTTATATTGAGGGCAGAGGCACCATTTGTCAAATGGTGTTTTGATGCTGTTGTGACTTTTGCATCTTCTGCTTTCTGTAACACCTATCTTTTCCCAGATGTAAGTTACTGTTTCTTCTTTACTAGAAATGAACATGAAGGAATCCCAGCAAACCTGATTCACCACCTGGATGTCTGTGTGGAAATTCCTCAGCAGGGTATTATTCGATCACTCAATGTTCATGTAAGTGGAGCTCTGCTGATTTGGGAGTACACAAGGCAACAAGTGATCAAGCAAAAACAACAAAAATAACTGCCGAGAGTTTTGTGCCTTATAGTACAGCTGGGTGACTTACTATGGTGCTACAACATGAAATTCTGAAGAGATGAGATGCAAACTCAGGGTGAATGAGGATTCTTTAAGTTTTGCATGTTTTGTTCTCTGTAGTTCGGACTGATTTTTAAATGCCTTAATACTTTACCTCCTTAAATAAAACTGTTGCATTGGAAATAAATACTATTTATATTGCACGTGGTGTGTGTGATTTTCTACTGCTAGAACATCAGCATAGTACCATGAACAATCCCAAACTAAAACACAGGATTTTTACTGCAGTTACTTTGTGATGACCATGCTTGAATTTGAAGTGGTGCCTTCCTATAACCACAATCAAAACTTCCCGTAGCCAGAGTAAAGTATTTATTTAATGCCTCCGGCATCTAGATATACTAGATTATATAATTTTTGCAAGGTAAATTCACTTACATTTTTAAAAATTGCCTGTGCTGCCTCTTGTTTAAATGCCTTCCATGGTCAAGTTTACTAATCCTGCTGTAAACAGCCTGTATCTTTAATGGAGTTGCATCAGTAAGGTCATCACAAACACGAAATTACACAAAAGGCCATAATGTGAGAATCGTGATAAATAACTGCCATACTTCTAACAGAGATACTGATTGAAAACTGTTATCACTAATGTAAAAATTCCTACTGCTTATAAAAAAAGGAGTATACTGCAAACATGCAATTTACGTATCATATGCACAGGATGCATTAGGTCTTCTAATGCCTGGTTTTGTAAACTGATGTCTGACTTAAACTGTATTTTAAAATACTCAGAAATACTTGGTAAATGACAGATACAAATTACATTATATCACCACCTCCTTATGACAAGGAGGGGAAGCTGGAATGGCTTTTTTTCCTTTTTTTAAAGGAAAAACTGGTTCACTTATTGAAAAACAATTTTATTGTTTTCTTTAGAATAATATGTACATTACACTTAAATAATCATTTATTCCTGTAAAACAATTTGACTAATTACACATTCAAAACCTTAGATTTGTGAACAGCTCTGCGCCATATTTCTTTGACTTGCACTGATGAAAAAGCTGTCCATGACCATCTTTTTTTCAGCAGACACATGAGACCTTGCAACAAGAAAGGCAGCCTGCGTTTCAGGGAGACAAGTCAGGTTACCAGTTCTTGAGCTCAAGCAGCTCCCGTTGCTTTCTCGTGCTTCTTCCTTCCATAGTTACCCTCACTAGATTTATTTTGAAAGCAGAGTACCTAAGACTTTCCAGCAGCTTCTGGAGGATGATACCCTTCTGTTTCAAGCTTTCTTTTGTATTTTAAAAAGTCTCTTCTTTTATTGAAGTATTTAACCTGTTCAAAAAGAGAAAAGATGTTCATCAGAAGAAACCAGCAGAGGAAGGGGCTTTGTGCATCACAAGACCAAGGAATAAACAGTCTTTGATCACTGAACTTAAGGAGGATTTAAACTAAACACACTAGGTAGGAGTTTCTCACTCCGATGAAGTAGAAGACTATAGGTGGGCTGGGGTGTGTTTATCATTTTGAAAGTGAACTCCAGTTTCCTGTCATAACCGCTCCCATTACTTCCATGGACATCTAATAAAAGTAGTCTATCGCTTTGCTATTTTCACTGCTGTGAACAAAGATAATCCAGGGGCTTTTCTGTGGTGTCACAGATGTGACCTCTGAATTCATTGCCTAGAGCCACTGATGTGCACGGTGCAAAGCACTGGCAGATGAAACCACCCTCACTAGAGATGACATAGGGCAGAACTGCAGTGTTCAAAGCGTAAGTCAGTACAGCAACTGTGAAGGTACCTGTTCTTCTAACTGACTTCAGTCTACTAGCTCCAAGAGGAGCTGTTCAGCCCCTCAGACACGACTGTTACTAAAAGGCAACGCCTATTAAAACAGTTAAGAATTGAAGCTTAATCTTAGGAAACCAAAAAGCACAACATGAATGAGTTACATGTAAGCAGATGGTTTACTGTGAAATTATACCGCATGAGGAAGGGTATTTTTATGCACAAGAAGGTATCAGATGCCAGTCTTAAGATGCCATGCAACTGCAAGCCCTGTGTGTCACCTCCCTTCCTTATTAGCCTTTCTTCTTTAGTTGCAGTAATTTCTGTACACTTCTAAAAGCTTCCGAGTTATTTTGCAGAACTTTTTTTTTTTAATTAAACAACAAGCCTGTATAGTTGCGTATTTATCTGAAACTTTGAGCTCGTATTTTCCTTTCCCTTTATACTATATGCTACTTTCCATAGTTCCCGGGCCAGTCAGTGGCCCGCTCAGGAGTTTTAATCTCCCCTCAAGACCGAAAGTGTGCAAACCAAGTTGCATTTGACGAGGGCGCAGGGTTACCAACGAGAAAGCGTAAGACCGCACGCGTTCCGCAGTCCAAGAAGCGGGAGTTGCCATCGTTAACAAGGTGAACGTAATTACTTGTCGACGCTGTTACCAGCGTGCAGAGGAACGCTCTCTTCGTTTGTACAAGCTTTGTTCGGGAGGCCGAGGGCAGGGGGACGCGTGCGGAGCGGCGGCTGCTGGGGCCCAGCCGCAGCTTCTCGCACTCGGAGGCGTCGTCCCCGTGACTATCCAGGCACTGCCAGAACTCGTCCCGGGCCCCCCAGCACGCCTTCCTCTCCTCCATCGTTGGCGCCGACATCTTCGCTACCGACCTGAACGCAAACGGCGGCTGTCCAAGCGCGCCTCGCCCCCGGCGCTGCCCC